AATACACATGAGTTTTTTTTAAAATTTAAATATCTCAGCAAGCATTTGCGACCTGGAGCTGCGGTTTGCACTAAAACTCATCATATCCTTCATATTTTTTACTTAAATTATCGAAAATTCATCTGCTAAAAAGCGATTGAGCATCCAACGAAAGAAAACGGTGTTTGATGCCTACTGTTGAATGCAGTGCAATATACCGTGAAAACCTCCAGTGGAGCCAATGAGTCCAAAAATTGCTTGTACTCCGACCAGATCTTTCCGCCGTACTAAGTAACTCGCCGCACTGATTCCGAATATGTACTCTTGGCACACGCTTCTTTGGAAATATTCGGTCAAACTTTCATATTGATACAAGCTTTACAATTATTCTTCGAGAAATACTGCTAAGCATTTAACGGAGTAATTAAACATGCGGAAATGGGTTGTTCGAGGCACAGTTTTATATGGAAACACACAGAATTTATGTTCCTTTTGTAAATTTTTGAAATGATTGCGCGGTCTTATACTGTATTATGTTTTAACAATCGTACTAGTGAAACAAAAATGCTCCAAACTATTAATGATAAAAATATATACCGAATACTATATCAAATACTTCTGTAGTACTTAACTAACTTATTCTCGTTGTGAGCTTTTACAGCTACCATAAAAGAAAAAACTAATATTTATTCTTCAATTGTCGTTGACACACAGATTTGAGAGTCAACATACATGAATTTATCACTCTACACATATTATGCATAAAAGTCATAATAGTGATCGTGACATAACGCTTATGTCTCTCACTACATAAATGAGGAAAATAAATCAAAAAAATCAAGCTGAAAAGAAAGAAAGCGAAATGTTTGAAGAAGATGTATATTATTATAGTATTAATATATAATTTAATAATAATATATAATCTCATATGAGATCTTACGAGTCCTTGTATTATCTAGTTTGTACAAACTACCTCTGTTGTTGTAAGAAAAATCTTGTGACATCTTATAAGATCCTTTCGCCACGTTTGTTATAAAATCTTATCAGATTTTCTTATGATCTTGTATAATATATTGATGACTACTCGCTAAAAGTCTGATGAGACATTTTCTTCTTTTCAAAATACTGTATAATAAACTAAGTCCTTTAAGATACTTATGTGCGAAGCTAATAAGATCAACTTAAGTACGGGTGTTATCACAAACAAAGTGAAAAGTTTTCGGTTTCTACAGTGCAAAATGATGAATTTAAGTAACTACATTACAGAATGCTCGTTTTATACGCAGGATGGATCGACCGAATACCTGTTATTTTTCCAGGATGAATCACTACTGATTCTACACACTTAATCTCTGCTCATGTTTTTCACTAAATACGTTTCTTAATTGAACAAAAGTATCTGTTTAAAGCAAATAGAAATGCTAACTTGGTGGCTCGTTCTTTCGAAGCAAATGTCTGCTTTAACAGTCAACACAACCTTTTAGACAACAGTTTAACAGTATCAGATAAATATTTCTTGGACAAATTCATTAGTAATGACAGAGAAACAGTCTCACCTGTAATAGTCTAAAAGAAATTGTAGCACCTACGACCACGTAAAAGTAAAGGGACACAGGATATTTTTCTATTGATGATGAACGAGAAAAGTGATAAACTAAAAAATAAAATAGGCATAAGTGAGCTTTTACAACTATCGTAAACGAAAACTAATATTTATTCTTTGATTGTCGTTGACACACAGATTTGAGAGTCAACATACATGAACCCATCACTCTACACATATTATGCATGAAAGTCATAATAGTGGTCGTGACATGAAAATGTCTTTCACTACATAAATGAAGAAGATAAATCAAAAAAATCAAGCTGAGAAGAAAGAAAGCGAAGAAGATGCACAGTCGGCAATTTTGGCTGGACATGTGGACATTGGATTTTAAAGCGCTGGAACGATCTCTCAGATATGTTTTTGTAGGTTTTCGAGTGTGCTCTTTTTAATAGAGTCACGGACAAACTTCAAAATTCATGTTTTAAGAGTTTTTCAAAGATCCGGTCTATAGAAAACCTTGGCAAAACCAGTTTAGAATTCTTTAAATAAGTTCATTGGATCAGCCGTACTCGGAAACCTATAAAACAATTATTTGTAGGTCTCCAGATCTGTTTTCTAACGATATAAAAACCATCGGCCTCAACTACCACGGTGCTGCCTAAAACTTAGCCTATGATATTATTGTTGAATAAATGTGTTGAACGATGAATTTCATCGTAGAGAGTTGAGCTTAGTCTCAAACGATTCCTCGTTAAATTGTCGACCAGAATATGTAAAAATCTTCCCTTCAAAGTTTAGATGAGAAAATTCAGACAAATAATACTGAGAAGCTTCAACGTGACTAAGTTTCCCGTTTAAAAAACATCTTTTCTCTTTTTATTCGTTGGCACTTCAAGGCATAAAGGAAACTAATCAGCCATTTTGTAGCGCTCAACAAGCTCTACCTTTTACCTGTAAACTAAAAAGTTCCACATAAAAATCTAGCTTGTAAAAGAGCGTTGCCTTTTTTCGATTTTGGCACCAAATCACGCTTTTGGAACAGCTGTTTTCGGGCATTCAGACAACTTTGCATAAGTTGACCAGAAAGTCAAGTTTGAAACTGCTTCAGCTTTATGTTGAAGAGTAATGCATGGCAAATCACATAAATCGTCGGACTTCAAATCTCTTTTCATATTCTAATAAAAGAAGCAAAATAATCCAACTTTCAGACATTTTCGGCTGAAATACAATAAGTCAGTTTTTCAGTTGGAATAGTTGCTCGAAACTGACTTTCTTGTACACTGGTAGCAAGAGGGCACTTGATTGTACTCGCAAAATTCTACTGATGTGTTCCCGCATTAATATTTATACTATCATATAAAATAATTTCAAACAAAGAAACCTCTGGGAAATTTAGTCATGTTGAAGCTTCTCAGAATTATTTGTCCGAATTTTCTCATTTAAACTTTGAAGGGAAGATTTTTACATATTCTGGTCGACAATTTAACGAGGAATCGTTTGAGACTAAGCTCAACTCTCTACGATAAAATCCAACCAAGCTATCGCAAAAATAGAAATGGTGACATTCTTTATGCCGCGCCCGTTAAGTTCTTATGGCAGAATTATGTATGACTTCACAATTTTAAAACGAATTCCTCGGAGTTGTAGGATCCCATAAGACACAGGATCATTCATTTAGTTTGCAGACAATCAGACGTTCTGGAAGATGTAAATAAAAGTTCGTATGTTGACTTATCAAAATGTTATGAATTCTTCTAAACTAAATATATAATCTGTCTTGCAGAATTCTCATCGGAATCTTATCAATATTCTACACATTTCCACTGCGTTATATAAAATTCTTATAATATTCCTATAAGATCTTCATGGAACCGCCGTAAGTTCGCGTCAGCTCGGGGCCATCGCAAAAGTCAGAAAACTATCGCATGTTTAATTGGTCAAAGATGCCGATCTTAGAGGGCGCCTACTGTGATGCTGATGAATAATTCTGACCACTAATCATTGATCAAAGTTCGAAAGTGCTAAAGGAAAACTTAAAATCAGCATTCCTTGCACTAATCGACAGATCCCATAAGTGAGCGAGCAACAAAGTGCTTGTTGTGGTTATTTCCTGAAAACTAGAAGAACAACCGACTGTCGACAATCAGACACAGCCACTCTAAATGTCTACTTTAATTGGGCTTTCACTCTTCGAATGTCGCTCTCAGTGGTTACTAGCTGTGGATGCGTTATTGCAAGTGATCTGCGCCTTATTGTTGCTGCTTTGTTATGATATTCTAATGCTGATTGCCAAGTACAAGTTGCTTCATGCACGAGTCCCATATTACGGTATGTAGAGGCGATATCAGGGTGATCGGGTGGAAGAGCTTTTAAGAAGATTTTCAATGCTTTGTCATAATTCATCAAAGCTAAATCATATTCACCTTTGTCATATTGTACACCACCGATATTGTTATATGTTTGGGCGATATCAGGGTGATCGGGTGGAAGAGCTTTTAAGAAGATTTTCAATGCTTTGTCATGATTCATCAAAGCTAAATCATATTCACCTTTGTCACCTTGTACATTAGCGATATTGCCATATGTTTCGGCGATATGAGGGTGACCGGGCGGAAGAGCTTTCACTCTGATTTTCAATGCTTTGTCATAATTAATCAAAGCTAAATCATATTCACCTTTGTCACCTTGTACACCACCGATATTGTTATATGTTTGGGCGATATCAGGGTGATCGGGTGGAAGAGCTTTTAAGAAGATTTTCAATGCTTTGTTATAATTCATCAAAGCTAAATCATATTCGCGTTTGTGTCTGGCAACATTGCCCAGTCCTACGTAACAGTAAGGAATGCCGGAATCGCCCACTGACAGCTGATTTAACAACCGTTTATAATACTTTTCGGCCTTGTCCAATTCACCCATCACATTGAACAAATTTCCAAGTGAAATGAGAGTGGTTTCACTCCCTATCTCTTTCTTCATATAGTCAAACACTTGTTTCAGATCATGGTCATCTTCGTTGCATAAATCTAAATCAGCCACCCAGATTTGCTGTTGTTTGTCAAAGTGAACACTTTCAAGTCGAAAGATCGAACCGAGCATAATCAGAATTTCTTCCTCAGCAGGGAAATAACTCAATCGAGAAATATCGGCAAACGGTTTTGCTTTTATTCGACTCTCAACTTTGATTTTGAAAAGAACACATTCATACTGAGCTTCACATTGAGCACTTTGAGCAAATTCAAGTGCCTTCTTCGGACTACGAGTTGTGGATAGAAAGGAGTTTATCGAGATGAATTCGCCAATACTTGAACGAATGCGAGAAAGCTCATCTTTTGACATCACTTGACCTCGATATAATCGACTGATGCTTGTGTTTGACGATTCTTTGATGAGCTGGTTGTGAATATCGACGATTAGAAATCGAAGCACGAAGAGAATGTCGATGTTCTGAACTCGCAGCGCTTTGTTCAGCATCTTGTAGAGAAAGCAGTTTCGAGTGTACCAACGTAGAGCATCAGACGGTTTGTATGTTTGTAATCATCAGCATATTACGTAATTAGTTTGCGGTGCTCCCCAATCATCTGTCATCAACTCACCGAAGAATATTTTCCACTATCCAGGCACTGGTTTTCGCGAGAGAAGAGTACTTTTCTCTTCGTACAAGTTCTAAACAGTTTGTTCATAGAAAAAAGAGGACGATTAGATAATGATTAGAAGAAACGTACATGAGTGAAGCCTCTTTCAAATACATTAGAAGTGATTCACTATTTCTTGATACTTGAACTGTAATGGGTTCCGATGAAAGCGTTAGAAATAAAGACGGTGTCAGCCAGTCGCTTCTGTTTGCCTTCCTTTTGAACGACAGTATCATTTTCTGGCAAGTTATGAGTTTCATATTACCACTTGCATTCTCAAAGAGAGTCGAAAGTTTTGTAGATGGTAATGATTTGTTGTGAGACATTTTCCAATGAGCTTTACATTTATTTTATTAGATGACAAATCGAGATCGAACTCATGGCGTGTTGGTAACACTTTCAACACCAGAGAGAGAAGCCTGAGCAGTTTCCTTTCACGTCCAGTTTTTACAGATGCAAGGGACTGATAAACGATCATCCATAAGATGGTGGTTTGTTATTACTATTCATGTTACTATCGACAAACTTCAGTGAAGAGATAAAAGAAATGCTGCTCTACTCCCTTCTAGAGGCGAGCATGTAATATATGCATGATCGCTTTGATGAAATTCACGAATAATCTTAAGGTCTGCATCATTGCCTCGATAGTGTTCGTTGCAGACTTGAACAAGTTCATCTTTCGATGTTTGTGAATGTTCCATTCGGAGTAGAACTTCGATAAACAGCTGAAACCACATGAATGAGCTGTTGTCTGATTTGAGATTTGTGTGTGTTCTATCGTAGATGCTGATTGAGATCGAATTCTCTTCTTCCTCTCGTTTCGCCTGATCTTTGCATATTGTCTCGACGAGCTTGTTTAGCTCAACAATTACACCTCTGATCTAGAAAAGCGACAGAATATATGAGAATTGTGAAGCACTCTAAGAAGTTCTTGGCTCAGAAGCATCCATGGTTTAATCACGCCTTCAAACGCGTCCACAGCCAGACTGTAGAGACAGAATAGAGTGTTTTGCAGAATTTCAAAGTGTTTCTTGCAGACTGGAATGGGATCTTTCGAAGACAAGGCCGCCGTGCAGTGTCGAGGCAATCTCAAGAGTGAAAGAGCACAGTCCGCATTCGGAATACTCCGCGATACTCCGCTCACTTCGTCACACTCCAGGCACTATGGGAGTTGGTGGAGTGACCCATAGGGCGCATGGTATACTTACGTGTCTTCAGCAGAAATTTGTTCTACAGAATGGAATTTAAGCTTCTTGTTCTATGTGTTTAAAACAGTTATCCATTGAGCATCAGAAGAGTTAGAAAGAATTAGTCACAATGCATCTACATAGTTATTGGAATCGAAAAATACTTCTTAAATGTACAGAAAAAAAAAGAAAGATTTTCGATTGTTAGTGTTACTTTGCATTACTTTTGACACTATATCACAAAACATTTTCTGTTAACAACCAACAGGCTGTAATCGCTAACAAAGAAAGAATCTTGATGGGTTGAGTCTTTTTTTTTGTGCTTTTCTTAAACTCAAATGTTTACTCCGGATTCAATACAATAAATGGTTTGAAACAAAACGGTTACAAAGAACAATTTAATGGCAAAGATTGCACTAGACGTTTCGTCTTTATGCATTTGAAATGAATAAAAAACCATGTTGTACTCGAAACAGAAGGTTAAATTCCATTTATTCTAATGACACTTCGGACACTCCGATGGTGTTCCGAACAGTCCACTTACTCCGTGGAGTGCCGGAGTGAGTGGTTGCTACCAAGAGCAATCTTCTGGGTTCCGAAGGCCACTAAATCTTGTTTCTACTAGTCTAAGAAGTTGAACCCAACGAAACGAATGAAACGTTTCATCACAAAACGATCACGGAAGAGAAATGAAACAACTTTAATGACAGTACCACACATCTGCTCACTTGGCACACAAACCCGTGTCAGAGACGTTGAAGAGATGAAGAAGAATGTTTGCTTCTCTTCTCAAGTATTTGGTGCTCAGAAGACAACTTCTTTTACCTTAGTTTAGTTTGTTTATGCGCAAAAATTGTGAAATCAATAGAAGAAGTTTTACGGCAGCTTGTACTCTCATTATTTTATTCAACATGTTAAAAGTAATAGAAGAAGAACCGCTAAGCTTCGATCGAAACATAAAGCGGTTCTTCTTCTATTACTTTTAACATGTTGAATAAAATAATGAGAGTACAAGCTACCGTAAAACTTCTTCTATTCTTTTACCTTTTTATAAAATTTTGCCCATCTTTCATTTGTTATTTTGTCCATACAGTAGACGTAAATGGCACTTAACTGAGGTAAATCGTGAACTCTCGGGACAATCTCTCTGCCTAATCGACCAGACACGATTAGAACAATCTTTTCATCTTTGCTTTCTCGAATATGTTCTTCACACTCATTTCCACTTTCGAACGTCAGTAAACAGTTGATGGATCTCCGCAATTGTGCTTGTGTTTCTAAATTGTCTGTGCTTTTATTCACATTCTGATCGAGCCATAAGAGAGCAAATGTTTCTAGATTCTGTCCTTGTTTGTGACTCTGTTGCTCAATGTTTGTGTTTGTCCATTTTGTGGGTTTTGGATTACTTGATGCCATCGACGCTAGAAGAAAGAACTTCGTGAATGACAAAGCAGATGCTGATGATGAATGACAGTTGCATCTCTTTTGATCTAATCAAGACAAACAACCTTTGCTTTTGTGATGCTTACATGCTTGTCTCAAAAGTTCTAGTTTTACTTGTTTACACTGATGTTTACTCGCAACAATCAGTGCAACTTACACTTTTATGACGAGAAATTCTGTACGAGCATATGAAGCAGGAAGAAGAATGTGCTCTTTTAGAAGTTTTCTATTGACATAACTGAAGAGAAAAGAAATGTACTGCTTTTGTAGAGAGTGGATGTAGCAGAATTAACAAAGAGTCGTATTCTTTACTTGTAACTCTCACCATCGCCTACCTGTTTGTGCAATTTTTGAAGTGTAAAGAAATGGACAAAGTCGACGAATTTTTCTTCCATCGTGTATCACTTTTCCTTTTCCATTCTACGATTTAGCGTTATGTTTGCATGCTTGATCAACATAGTTTTCATCGTTCATCTAAATTTGTGAAAAATGCCGAAGTAATCTTTGACATTGGCTCCTAAAGGACTCTCAAGAAACTGTTGCCTAATTGCTCTAATGTTCAATAGATTAGGGTGTTTTCATTGATTTATAAATAGTTATCTGGGGCGTAGACGGCAGTTTCTCGAGAGTCCTTTAGGAGCCATTGTCAGAGATTACTTTGCCATTTTTCATAAAGGCGACTATAAGTTCCAGCGTAATTTTTGACTGCGGAATGGGATATATGTAAATGCATTTTGTCCCTTAATGTTTTTCTATGCTTTGCTGTGCTTGTAATAAGATCCCGCGTTAGCTTGTTGGAAGAATCCTGAATTAACATTAACATGACACTGGTCGAAAAACGTATGTAAAGTCTTTCTTGTGCTCAAATGACTTGAAAAGAGACATAATACAGATGACATACATTTTTTTTGCAGCAGTGCAAATAATAAAATAGTATTACTGATACATGCAGTTAAGTTTTATGTTTTTACTTTCTCTTATAATAATTATCTACAAAAGCTCAAAACTATGTACGAAGTCGTCCTTGAAAAATATGCACATGAGTTTTTGAGTGGTGGCAAAAAGAAAACATCAAATGAGAAACAAAAAAAGTATATACGATACACGTCTTCCGCATAACATTCGTTGCATGTAGTTTCAATGGCCTGCGATTTTATTTGTTCATATTCATTTATTTATATTGATAATGGTTTGGTTCATCCTTAATGCTACAAATACGCAAAAGACAAAAAGTATTTTTTTCAAAAGCTCCACAGCATTGTATACCGTTATCATGCAGGTAGAGGTGGGACAGTTCCAGTTACCGTTCTTAGTAACTGGAACTGGTGACCAGTTACCGTTCCTAGTAACTGGAACTGGTGACCAGTTACCGTTCCTAGTAACTGGAACTAGTGACCAGTTACCGTTTTCTTCACAATCAAGATGGAGAAAAGTTTTAACTCATTTATCTTGTTTTTTATACTCTAACGAGCTTATGTAGGTCAGTTCTTACTGACGATACTGCCATGTTTTTCTCTTAAATAATACATATCGATAACCTTTATTTGAAGTGAGTCGGCATTTAGCATCGCCAATTATGTAGCACGAAAAAATCGATTATCGTTATCATCAAAAAGTATCAAATACACAATGTTTCTGAAAGACAAATTGTGATTGGTGCTGCTGCCACGTTCAGCGTTGTTATGTAAATGTAAAATTTTGTTGATTTGTCTGTAAAGACTAAATGGTTCAAATAAAGGTTTTCGATATGTATTATTTAAGAGGAAAACACGGCAGTATCGTCAGTAAGAACTGACCTACATAAGCTCGTTAGAGTATAAAAACAAGATAAATGAGTTAAAATTTTTCTCCATCTTGATTGTGAAGAAAACGGTAACTGGTCACCAGTTCCAGTTATTAGGAACGGTAACTGGTCACCAGTTCTTTTTACCAGTTACTAGGAACAATGAGAACTGGAACTGAGTTCCAGTTCTCATGTAGGGGTGGGACGGTCCCACCCCTACATGCAGGTGTTCATGTTGTAAAGCACGTCGATGTCTTCGTTTCATGTGTCATGTTGTGTTTCTATTAACGTGCGTCATTATATGCCTCGTTTCAATTATTGTGTATGTCAGTTAAATATCCATCTGTTCAAAATTATGCTATCACTTTTACATATTATTTATTTTATTAAGTTTTACATTTTTACTCGATTTTGACATTACACTACAGAAGCAGATAAACAACTTCGAAAAATACTCAAAAAAGCATCAGTGTTATATTCTATATCATCTACTTGGAAATAATCGAGCAACAAATATTGTTGGTGATTGAGCATGTATAAATTAACTTTATTGTAATAATCATAATTTCCCAACATTGGATTTCATTAGACAATACTCTGTATTTATACTTGATATATTGTTTGCAAGTTTTCATCAGAGATGATTGCTCTCACATGATACTATTTATCTGCATAACTATTGTCTTTCAGCGTTTAAAAAGCCTTTGGTATATGTCTTTCATGCAGTAGTCTATTGTAAAGACCAATAGTTTTTGTTGAGAGATGAATAGCTCGTCATGGCAGAGCACAACGTTTTAGATATGTAGTATTTAGTTGGAAAATTTTCTTTACTGTTGTTTTATAATAATTGCTTTCGAGTGCTTATAAACATTACGATATTAGTCAATTCACTACTGTATATTATCATGCGTTGTACTCTCTGAAAAGCATACCATCGAATAGAGTTCGATCTAGAAAATGATTCCGTGCTCCAAGAGAGATAGGTTTTAGTGTTTTAGTTTGATTGCAGCTTCTGCAATCGTTCCTCTGTCACAGTTAGAGCCCTTTTGAAGAACACCCTAGTCGAACATCTTGGAACCAAGATCTTGACATCTTAGATTTTTTCGAAAAGATCTTGGCAAGATCTTTGGTACAGGATGTCAAGATATTTTTGTTCCTAAGATCTTGCCCATGATCTTGCGT